GTATGAAAAAAAAAATTTTGCCACATGAAATATACATTTTCCTACACACAAAGAGAAGGATACATGCACAATAGTAGAGTAGTACATGCACAGTATATATTGTGCATGTACTACTCTACTAAATGAAGAATAAATGACACTTACCTTTATTGAAGATGCAGCAATGACTGATGAGACACTGTGTCCTGGGAGTGCCTTTTCCTCCTGAGTACTGTAGGTCCTGTTTGGCATTTTCTTCCAGAACAGGCCTTATCACACTGTGTGTGCCACTACGATTCTTAAATCTCTCAAACCAACCTTTGCTGGCTTTAAATTCACCAATATGAGCACTAGTTCCAGGCGTTTTTCCCTGTTCACCTGGGTGTTAGTCGACTGGTGTGGGTTGCATCCTGGAGACAAGATTAAGGACCCCAATGGAAATAAGTTAGAGAGTCCTCGATGATGCACTGACTTTCTTGGGTTATCCTGGGTGGCTAACCCTCTGGGGTTAATCGTTTCTCGGTAATTGTTTCACGTTAAGCCACACCAACAACACTCTCTCCACATCTTCGAGTAATACAGCTGATGGTGGTGCAGCAACAACAACAGCTGTGGTGCAGCTGACCATGGTGCAGCAGCAGCTGTGGTGCAGCAACAGCTGACCATGGTGCAGCTGTGGTGCAGCAACAGCTGACTGGTCCAATTTATCAGCTGATCATGGTACGATAGTATTTATCACCCTTTTTACCACAGGGTTGGCACTAGAAGCTTTCTTTGGGCCCATGGTGGCTTATTTAGCAGTTACAAGCACTATAAATAATGGAATATACAAAATGTATCGAATGTATGCATGCAACCGGCCACCTTGGCTTGTAAACAATGACGGCAAGGCAGGCACTCAGGCTGGACGGACAGGTTCGGGATGAGTCATGTTCAGAAACAGCTGATGATGCAACAGCAGCTGACCGTGGTGCAGCAGCAACTGACTGATCCAGCAACAGCTGACTGGTCCAGCAACAGCTGACTGATCCAGCAACAGCTGACTGATCCAGCAACAGCTGACTGGTCCAGCAACAGCTGACTGATCCAACAACAGCTGACTGATCCAGCAACAGCTAACTGGTCCAGCAACAGCTGACTGATCCAGCAACAGCTGACTGATCCAGCAACAGCTGACTGGTCCAGCAACAGTTGACTGATCCAGCAACAGCTGACTGGTCCAGCAACAGCTGACTGGTCCAGCAACAGCTGACTGATCCAGCAACAGCTGACTGGTCCAGCAACAGTTGACTGGTCCAGCAACAGCTGACTGATCCAGCAACAGCTGACTGATCCAGCAACAGCTGATTGTGGTGCAGCAGCAGCTAACTGATCCAGCAACAGCTGACTGGTCCAGCAACAGCTGATTGTGGTGCAGCAGCAGCTGACTGATCCAGCAACAGCTGACTGGTCCAGCAACAGCTGATCGTGGTGCAGCAGCAGCTGACTGATTCACCAACAGCTGACTGGTCCAACAACAGCTGATCGTGGTGCAGAAGCAGCTGACTGATCCAGCAACAGCTGATCGAGGTGCAACAGCAGCTGACTGGTCAAGCAACAGCTGACCGTGGTGCAGCAGCAGCTGACTGTGGTATGATAGTATTTCTCACCCTTTTTACCACTGGGTTAGCACTAGAGGCTTTCTTGGGGCCCATGGTCACTTATTTTGCAGATGAAATCACCAAAAACGCTGTAATAATATGAAATGTTCCGATTGTATGCTTGGATGTTACCGCGGAGGCTGGCTTGTAAACAGTGCCACTGGCGGAACATGTGAAGCTGGCTCAGGCCGCACATTAGAAGCGTCTCGGATGAATAGCGTTGAGCGAGTTTTTTAGCGGTATGCGAGGCAAAATTTTAGTGATAAAATGTATCGGTATGCGGATTTAACGTTATGTGATGCCAACGGTATGCGAGGGTCCACTGTACATGTATATGGTCAGAGCAGGAGCATGAGTGGCCGCCACCACTCGTCACATAATGACATACTTGTTCTAGAGTACAGTGGACCCCCGCATAACGCTATTAATCCATTCCTGAGAGCTCAGTGTTATGCGAAATTATCGTTATGCGAATTAATTTTCCCCATAAGAAATAATGGAAATCAAATTAATCCGTGCAAGACCCCCCAAAGTATGAAAAAAAAAATTTTTACCACATGAAATATTAATTTTAATACACACAAACTTAAGAAAACATGCACAGTTACATGACACTTACCTTTATTGAAGATGTGGTGATGATTGATGGGATGGGAGGAGGGGAGACTGGATGGTTTTAGTGTTTAGAAGGGGAATCCCCTTCCATTAGGACTTGAGGTGTCAAGTCCTTTTCCGGGGTTGCTTCCCTTCTTCTTTTAATGCCACTAGGACCAGCTTCAGAGTCACTGGACTTCTGTCGCACAACATATCTGTCCATAGTGGCCTGTACCTCTCGTTCCTTTATGAGTCCTAAAGTGTTTCACAACAGTGTCAGTGTAATAGTCACCAGCACGGTTTGCAATAGCTGCCTGAGGGTGATTTTCATCCATGAAGGTTTGCACTTCAAGCCACTTTGCACAGATTTCCTTAATCTTTGAAGTAGGCAACTTCTTCAATTTCTCTCTCCCCTCCTCCGAAGCAATTTCCTCAGGCGTGGCCTCTTGCTGTTGAAGTTGATCTAGCAGCTCATCAGTGGTTAGTTCTTCATTGTCCTCCTCCACCAACTCTTCCACATCCTCCCCACTAACCTCCAACCCCAAGGACTTCCCCAATGCCACAATTGATTTCTCAACTGGCATAGGATTCTCAGGGTTAGCCTCATATCCTTCAAAATCCCTTTGGTCTACACATTCTGGCCACAGTTTCTTCCAGGCAGAGTTCAAGGTCCTCTTAGTCACTTCCTCCCAAGCCTTACCTATAAGGTTTACACAATTGAGGATATTAAAGTGCTCTCTCCAAAACTCTCTTAGAGTCAATTGAGTTTCTGAGGTCACTACAAAGCACCTTTCAAACAGAGCTTTTGTGTACAGTTTTTTGAAGTTTGCAATAACCTGCTGGTCCATGGGCTGCAGGAGAGGAGTGGTATTAGGAGGCAAAAACTTCACTTTAATGAAGCTCAAGTCCCCACAAAGTCACTCTGCCAAGTCTGTAGGATGACCAGGGGCATTGTCTAACACCAGGAGGCACTTGAGGTCTAATTTCTTTTCAGTTAGGTAATTTTTCACAGTGGGGGCAAATGCTTGGTGTAACCAGTCATAGAAAAAGTCCCTAGTGACCCATGCCTTATTGTTTGCCCTCCACAGCACACACAAATTAGCCTTGAGGATATTCTTTTGCCTGAACGCTCTGGGAGTTTGAGTGATACACTAATAAAGGCTTCACTTTGCAATCACCACTAGCATTGGCACACATGAGAAGAGTAAGCCTGTCTTTCATAGGCTTATGTCCTGGGAGTGCCTTTTCCTCCTGAGTAATGTAGGTCCTGCTTGGCATTTTCTTCCAAAACAGGCCTGTTTCGTCACAATTAAACACTGTCTATGTACTCCGTGAATTCATGCACATATTTTTCAGCTGCTTTTTGGTCGAAACTAGCAGCCTCACCATGCCTTATCACACTATGTATGCCACTACGCCTCTTAAATCTCTCAAACCAACCTTTGCTGGCCTTAAATTCACTCGCATCACAGGCATTTTTCTAATTAAATCCTCATGCAACTTCCTAGCCTTTTCACTTATGATCGCTTGAGAGATGCTATCACCTGCTATCTGTTTTTCGTTTATCCACACCAATAACAGTCTCTCAACATCTTCTATCACTTGCGATCTCTGTTTCGAAAGCACAGTTAAACCTTTGGCAAGAACAGCTTCCTTGATTGCCGTTCTCTTGGACACAATAGTAGCGATGGTTGATTGGGGTTTACTATACAACCTGGCCAGCTCGGAGACACGCACTCCACTTTCATACTTAGCAATGATCTCTTTCTTCATCTCCATAGTAATTCTCACCCTTATTCCTGTAGGGTTGGCACTAGAAGCTTTCTTGGGGCCCATGGTCACTTATTTTTCAGGTGAAATCACTATAAAAAGGCTGTAATAATACGAAATGTTCCAGTTGTATGCTTGAATGTTACCGCGGAGGCTGGCTTGTAAACAATGCCACTGGCAGAACAAATGAGGCTGACTCAGGCCGCATGGGCGCATCTCGGACGAATCGCATTGAGCGAATTTTTAGCGCTATGCAAGGCAAAATTTTAGCGATAAAATGTATTGCTATGCGGATTTAACACTATGTGATGCCAACGTTATGCGGGGGTCCACTGTATATATAATGTTTCTATGTTATTTATATTGTTTATGTCATATTAGACCAGTTATGATAGATAAATAAGCCCTAGAGCTGATATTAGTGTTATATTGAAGTATTTTCTCCTGCCTCCCAAGAGCAGGAATTCTGCTGTAATGGATTAATGGCATTTCAGTTAATTTCAGTAAGGAAAATTGATTTTATATATAAGCAAATTGAGTTACAAGGTAGGTCACGGAACGGATTTAACTCGTAAGTCAAGGTACCACAGTATTAATAAATTTAAAAAGTGAAACTTTTGTTTTTCTTATTGGGCCACTCTGCCCTGGTGGGATACGGCTCGTTTGTTGAAAGAAAGAAGAAAGACTTCTTTTTTTTTCTATAATCTTTAAATGTTTTTTTTTAATCTGCTTAATAATGATATAAGAAAGAATGAGCACATTTTGGCTTAAATCTTATGGTTAGCTTTAAATTTATGGGTGAACCAGCCTAGATAAAACATGAATGATTTACATTATCTTCCTTAAAAATGTTGTATAATTGAATCTCGCTGATTTCGAAGCACGTGATTTCTTGGGTTTGACTGTACAGTTTATATAATACAGTACTGCTTCTGCATCATTTTTATAGCCCAATACACAAAAAATAAAGTACATAGATATTTTTTAATAAAGAAGCATGATGTCTGATCATTTTAGGTTCCTGGAGCTGAGGGTCGTGCAGGTATGGCAGCCATCTTAGACACTGAAGACACTCTGAACTTGGAGGAACTTTATGCAGGAGTTGTGAAAGCACTTGCTTCATATGCTCGTCCACTGTTTGTTAGGATTGCCCAAAAACTAGAAATGACTGGTAAGATTTTTGGTTATACTGTATCCTTCTCCAACCTTCCTTCCTTCTTTCTTACTCCTAACTCATTTCTCTTCTCATTTTTTCCTCCTCCTCTTTCTCCACTCCTTTCCTTTCTTTACTCTCTTGCCCCTTCTTCCAATCTCTTGCTCTGTCTCCTCTTTTCCTTCTCTTTCTGTCCTTCTCCCCCTCTTTTTCTCCCACCTCTCTACCATCTCCCCCCTTTCTTCTCTTCTCACTCTTCTCCCCCACTCTCCTCCCCCTCCCTCTCCCCTTACCTCTCCCCTTTATCCCCCTCTTCTATCCCCCTCTCCCTTTTGTCCCTCTCTTCTCTCTCCCCCCCTTCTCTCTACCCTCTTCTCCTCTTTGTACCCCCTCCTGTCTCTACCCTCTCTCTCTTTTCTCTACTCTCATCTGTCTACCCCCCTCTTTCCCCTCTTCTCACCCTTCTTTCTCATCCAATATCCTCCCCCTGTTCTCATGAGCTTTAACTATATATTAATTACAGTTTTAGTGATTTATTTTTAAAAATGTAATTGCTGTATTTTATATTATAAGGCTTATTATTATTAGGCTTTATCCAATTACTGTGTTTTGGAGTTGCTTCTTAATACGTATTTAGCATTAGGAGATTGTATTTTAATTTGATGAGTGTTTGAGGTAAAGCTGATGTAAATATGAGGGAGAATGCCATCCACCTGCTGAACTGAGTTAGTTTATTGCTGAAGTATGTAAAATATGCAAGATCGTTTTATAATGTGATGTCACCATGGTTGTTTAGTGTATTTATAGATAGGGTTGTAAGAGAAGTGAATGCTCGGGTATTGACAAGAGGTGTGAGGTTAAAAGATAAAGAATCTAACACAAAGTGGGAGTTGTCACAGTTGCTCTTTGCTGATGACAGTTTGCTTTTGGGAGATTCTGAAGAGAAGTTGCAGAGATTGGTGGATGAGTTGGGTAGGGTATGTAAAAGAAGAAAATTGAAAGTGAATGTAGGAAAGAGTAAGGGTGATGAGGATAATAAAAAAATTAGGTAATGAAAGATTGGATATCAGATTAAGAGAGAGTATGGAGGAGGTGAATATATTCAGATATTTAGGAGTGGACCTGTCAGCAGATGGGTGTATGAAATATGGTGAATCAGAGAATTGACAAGGGGAAAAAGGTGAGTGGTGCACTGAGGAGTCTGTGAAGACAAAGAACTCTATCCATGGAAACAAAGAGAGAAATGTATAGTTATACCAACACACTTATATAGGTGTGAAGCATGGGCGGTGAATGTTGCAACAAGGAGAAGGCTGGAGGCAGTGGAGTGTCATGTCTGAGGGCAATGTGTGGTGTGAACATAATGCAGAGAATTTGTAGTTTGGAAATTAGGAGGAGGTGTGAAATTACCAAAACTATTATCCAGAGGGCTGAGGAGGGGTTGTTGAGGTGGTCTGGACATGTAGAGAGGATGGAACAAAATAGAATATCGAGAGTGTATAACTGTAGTGGAGGGAAGGCGGGGTAAGGGTCAGCCTAGGAAAGGTTGGAGGGAGGGAATAAAGGAGGTTTTGTGTACTAGGGGCTTGGACTTGCAGCAAGCATGCATAAGTGTGTTAGATAGGAGCAAATGGAGACAAATGGTTTTTAGGACTTAAAGTGCTGTTGGAGTGTGAGCAAGGTAACATTTATGAAGGGATTCAGGAGAAACCGGAAGGCCCGACTTGAATCCTGGAGATGGGAAGTACAGTGCCTGCACTCTGAAGGAGGGGTGTTAATGTTGCAGTTTTATAACTGTAGCTGTATAGCCCTTGTGGCTTAGCGCTTCTTTTTGATTATAATAATAATAATTTATAACTGTAGTGTAAGAGCGCCTCTGGCAAGACAGTGATGGGGTGAATGATGGTAAAGTTTTTCTTTTTTGGGCAACCCTACCTTGGTGGGAAATGGCCGATGTGTTAATAAAAAAGAATAATAAATATTGTTTTATAATTTTTTGGTGGATTATTGGGCTGAGTGATCAATTTGGATAAAACAACAGGTGCACAAAATATGCAACTAAATTATTTACCTCAGACAAGTTGGCCATATTTATGAAGTATTGTGAAGAACTATTTTTGACAAAATATTTAGAATTTGACAAATAGTATATAATATTTGAATTCACTTTTTTATTTATTTACTGAATTTCCAGGAACTTACAAGCTTAAGAAAATTACCTTGAAAAAAGAGGGATTTAACCCAAATGTGATTGAGGACAAGATGTACTTTTTGGATACGAAGAAGAAAGCATATGTCCCTCTTACTATTGATCTTTATGACAAGATTGTTGGTGGGGAAGTGAGGATGTAAACTGAGATAAAATGCAGTATTATAGAAATGTTAAACAGCTGTGGTGCACCCTTGTTGTAAAAATAACATTTTCATTATGAGATTAGTGTCAAATCTAGTACAAGTAGCCAATAAAGATTTCTTATATTGACTGGCAGATTATACTGGTATTCAAAGATATTCCAAGACACAAATCTTTTGGCTTATTTGTAGACTGAATACTGACATATGGACCTGATTCTTGTTTTGTATACATTAAAAAGCACTGTAAGCGCATCTTCAGGAAGACACTTATGAAACTTGCATAATTAATCACTATATATTCCTACCTATTGATGGTTCCAGGGTTGCCCTCCCTTGTGGCCTGGTCCCAGACCAGGCCTGGTTGAGGGTCTGATGAGTCGTGCTTTTTGTGCTACTAACACAGTCCAGTGTAGGCATCACAGCATAGCTGCACAGAAACTGACTGGAAGAACCTGCCATTTAGCCACTTCCCTCATACTGTGTTTGAAATTGTTGAAATGTGTCAATGAGTCGGTGTTTATATCCTAAAAAAATTACAGATTCTATGAAACAAATAATGCACATAATCTAAAAAAAATAGTGGTCAATGAATATGAATACAGTATTGATAATTGTGATTACCCTGGAAGTAATAGAGCACAAGGTAGTGTTTAAACTTTAAAATGTTTATTAGAGAATAAGCTTATTTTGGTTCAGGGCAGTAATGCAGCTATTGCATTTTTTCAGATTAGGATAAAGTGTTACTAGGATATAAATTTTGCCCACCTCAGGAATTTCTGAAATTTAGTTTCCTTGCACTAACCTTAATTACAAAGGGTAGCTGATTTAGACACACACATTCTGTGGGGTTAATGCATACTGTGAAATATTAAATACTACTTTCCTTAAAACTGTTTAACTTTAAAGGTTCAAGAGGAATGTTTATAGACATAATACATGGAAAAGGAAGCATTACATGTTCATACATGTTCTGTTGGTTTTCTATATGTTAGGGCCATAAACTGATATAAATGCATTTATTTCTTCTCATGGTTGTTTGAAGCCTCTAGTCATACTTTATTTATGTACTGTATGGTATTGTATGATTACCTACCTGATCTTGCAGTGTTCTTACTTCTTTGGACTGACTGATGAGAAATAACATTTTCGTATTTAGTTTGAATTCCGTGTAAGAGGACTGCTTATACTATCATTGTCCAATTTATTCAGTGTCCATGTGGCTCATTTGGGTGTTTTAAGATAGTTCCATCCATGCTCTTATGATCTCGATTCTTCTCTGATAAAGAACATATCCTGGTCTACCCTACCCAAGCCTTTGAGTATTTTGTATGCTAAAATCATATCCCCTCTTTATTATTATTTCAGACAGAAAGCCTAACTCTTGCATTCTTTTATTTTTCATAGTTCATTTCTTCTCACCTAATTACTTTTGACTGAAGTCATTTTGTTATTACTAGGTGAGGGCTACCAGGAGGGTATTTCATACAGATACTGTGTTCTCAGGAATGGTCCACCTGTATGATGGAAATAATGTTCTGAACATATTTTTTTTATAGATACTGTCTGGCACTCTTGTGTTTTTATGTTTTCAAACTTAGCCTGTACTGCTTCCAGGTTTGGGGGTAATGATTATTCTTAGATCTTTTTCTTTTAACTTTCCATGAATTATTTTTACCTGGTTATTACCTCTTTATTATTTAACTCTTGCTAGAGTTAAACTTTAATAAACATTCTTAAAGTCTACAAATGTGCAACATATTTGATGGCAGCTGTAAGTGTAACTACTAATCTACAGACTTCAAAATTCTTTCCAAATGTCTAATTTGTAATAGGCCCAGGCTTTCATTGTTGGCCTTGCAGGTTCAAGGATAAATTTAGCAAGGTTAAATCAGGTTTTAAAGTTAATTTTGATTCAAAATGAAGCATTTGCATTGTATACCATGTTAAATGTGTGTAAATATATATACTGGTATGCAAAATACATGTGCATATCAAAAGTATGTGTTTGAAAAATCTAGTTTTAATATAGGGCCATTTGTTTGATCAGTTTGGCTTTAGGCATAGCATATATTCATAATATGTATAAAAATCTGACTAGAGGCTCAAAAGAACCCATAAGAAGAAATAGTATGCTGTATATTTATCTCTGCTCATGGTACCTTTCAAGCTTTTGGTCATATTAGCTCTGCATACCTGTATGGAAGGTTTCAGTAACATAACTCATATACTGGTTAATGTGTCCACAGATGGTGGACATAGCTGTTAGAAATCACTCCAGGATATTCTGTATGTTACATCACTAACTGGGGTATGTAGTACCTGACTAGCATTGAGGTACTGTTTTGCATAATATATTTGACTTGTGGCATATGGCTTCTTGATATTATAATAAAATAAGGATTAATAAAATAATACAGCTTCTTACTCCATAGGGTGCTACTGTATAGTTTGAGATGTATTATTTATATGTTGAGATGAGATACCACAACCATGACTGATATATCTCAGTGGTTTTTTTTTTTTAACTAGTTTGTAAAATGTATTAACTTTCTATATATATTTACAGTAGTTTTATATTTTTCCATTTTTTTTCATGTGTTTTTAGTGGAGGTAATTTTAATTTGCATATTCTGGCTTGGCAGTGTTTCAACTTTAATCAGTAATGAAATAAGTTTAAAGGAGGTATTATTTTAATACTGCATAGTTTGATCTTTGTTTCTTAGTAAAAATAGCTTAATGTAGTGGAGAAGGCTCTCCACTACATGAGAATACATGCATTATTCATTCAGTATTACATACTGTATTTTAGCTTTTTTTTTTTTTACACAACGGTGTTAATCTTGATACAATAAATTTGTAACATCTTTGTGTGTTAGAAAAGCTTGAGCAGTAATATTGTTGGGAATTGTCACCACCTAAAGTAGTTGTGAAACAAGAGGTACATTTCACTGAACATGAGAATATATTTTGCAGTTATGTTTATTACCACTTTTAGTTGAGGGGAAAAGGGTAATAATTTTATGTAAAACATAGCATGAATAAGCATTGAGACAGTTGTGAAAGCATGGTGAATGTGTGCTGAAATACATACTTAAGTCTCTCTTCATACAGCTCACACAGTGTCTTGAATAACCTATATATCAAGGACTTTTGTATTTTGACCATGAATTATGCCTTAAGAGGTTATTCCATATCATTGTTATTGTAGAAATAAATCATGCTGATGAAATATTTTAAATATATCCTTGTTATTGCAGAAGTAAAAATATATTTCTCTCTCTCTCAACACACCGGCCGTATCCCACTGAGGCAGGGTGACCCAAAAGGAAAAATGAAAGTTTCTCCTTTTACATTTAGTAATATATACAGGAGAAGGGGTTACTAGCCCCTTGCTCCCGGCATTTTAGTCGCCTCTTACAACATGCATGGCTTACGGAGGAAGAATTCTGTTCCACTTTCCCATGGAGGTAAGAGGAAATAAACAAGAACAAGGACTAGAAAGAAAATAGAAGAAAGCCCAGAGGGGTGTGTGTGTATACAGTGGACCCCCGGTTAACGATATTTTTTCACTCCAGAAGTATGTTCAGGTGCCAGTACTGACCGAATTTGTTCCCATAAGAAATGTTGTGAAGTAGATTAGTCCATTTCAGACCCCCAAACATACACGTGCAAACGCACTTACATAAATACACTTACATAATTGGTCGCATTCGGAGGTAATCGTTATGCGGGGGTCCACTGTATATGCTTGTACATGTATGTGTAGTGTGACCTAAGTGCAAGTAGTAGTAGCAAGACGTACCTGAAATCTTGCATGTTTATGAGACAGACAAAAGACACCAGCAATCCTACCATCATATAAAACAATTACAGGCTTTTGTTGTACACTCACTTGGCAGGACGGTAGTACCTCCCTGGGCGGTTGCTGTTTACCAACCTACTACCTAGGTAAAAATATATTTACAGTATTTTAATTAATAGAAGCTGAGAAAGTGAAAATAGTAGCTCACAATTGTGGGAAAAGATTTTGAAGAGAGAATTTCAACTATGTTTAGTGTATGAGAGCACTTTCAGTATTGTAAGTTCTCCTGCTGGACTTCATAAGGGCAGCTAAAGCAAAATATGTTGATAATAACATATACACCTCTTCAAGGGGGGCTCCTTGGTCTGAGGAATTAGACCTGTCAGTCTCCTTCCTCAGACCGAACCTAATTACCCCCCAATCCCCCCTTCCCTATCCCATCCTCCCCTTTTTCCTTTCCTCCTCCTCCTCCCCACCCCTCCCTTTTGCCCTTCCTTTTTTGGCCTTTGGGATTTTTCCCACAGGCGTGCTAGTTCCTAGGTTGGGGAAAGGGTACCAGGGTCCATCCCATTCCATTGAGGTTCTTGGTGGTGGCGTAGTTTGCCGTGGAATCTGGATCGCCTGGGGATGTCCCGATCCCTCTCCGGTATCCCGGAGGGTGGCCTTGAGTGTCTTTCGAGCAACGGGTGTATCTCTGGAAGCCACTTTTCGGATTCCGGGGAGTGGCCGAAGGAGGTATGCTTTGTGGCGGATATCCGGCCACCCTCTCTTTTGTCCACCGAGGTAGCTCGGCAGATGTGAGGTTGCTATCCCGGATTGCTGGTTTACTGGCATGAAGGGTAGGGTATGGCACGGGTTCCATGCTGCATCTGCGCTACTTGCGGTGCTGAGGTCCTCTTGGGCGCAGAGGGATATTTCTGGCCCTTTCATTCCTCCTAGGAACTATCCCTCCCTGGTCCCCCCATTTTTTTCTTTTTTTTTTTTTTTTTTTTTTTTTTTTTTTTTTTTTTTCTTAAAAACAAAAAGAAAGAAGTAACCTAACCATGGAGCACCTGATCCATGACCCTGCTAACCTCAGGCCCCTTATTGTTACCTCACCCCGTTCTGACCTCACCTCGTCTTTTGGCCACTCTTCAGACATTCCTAAGGCCCCTGTACCTCTTGCTGGTGCTGTTTCGTCACCCGCTTCAGGTGCTGGGGTTTCGACTGACTCCGATTTGTCTGACCTCCGCTCTCCTTTGACTATGCTTCTGGCCTCTCCCTCTATGGTGTGACAATTTTCGAATCGCCAGCCCGTCCCACGTCGGACCGACTCTGGTCCCACTTCTAAACGCCAACGACAATCTCCTGATGATGTTACTTCGTTACCTTCCCATTCTACTCGGAAAAGACCGACACGTCATGCACTCCCTCTCCACACTCAGTTTTGGACCATACAATGGACTAAATTCTTTACTTTAAGACCGACTTCTACTGCCTATCTTTCCGACCATAGTATTGGCAAAGCGCTCCTACGCCATGTTGGTAGAGATATTTCGTTTCATGCTCTTAAGAGTGGTACGCGCATCATCACAGTCCAGAATTCTACCCAAACTCATGATCTTTCTCTTCTTTCACATATCGATACTATTCCTATCACTGTCGAAAAACATCATTCCCTCAATTCTTGTAGTGGTACTGTTGTTCTGCCCCATACCACAGTCCAACAGAATTTCCAGACATGTGGCAATGACATTCTCGAATAGCTGGAACTCCAAGATCTCCCAATTCTCAAGGTAGACACTTATGTTCTTCCTACCCGCGGGAGAAGACGATACCCTTGCAATGTGGCTCGTTTAACTTTTGACAGCCGTGAACTCCCATCCTCTGTTTATGTAGCAGGACATCGGTTACAAGTTCGGAAGGTGATCCCTACACCGCAACAGTATAGGAATTGCTGGCAATTTGGCCACCCGGCAAAATATTGCAGATCAATAGCCGAATGCCCAGTCTGTGGTGCCGATGACCACTCTAATACATCTTGCAGTCGACCTCCCTCTTGCCTTAATTGTCATGAGGCTCACCCTTCGTACTCTCACCGTTGCTAGGTCTACTTAAATGAACGGGAAATTCGTTGCCTCAAAGAGGCAGAAGGTCTCCCTTATGCTATGGCAGTTTTTCATCTCCGCCTCCAAGGAAAACTACTCCGTGTTTATTCTGGTGTTTCAAAACGTCCCCCCACTTCTGGGGTCCCATCTTCTGCAGCCTCCTTTGCGGTTGCCAGTCCCATAATCACTCCTGTATCTAATTCTTTTGCTGTCCTGGGCTCAGACGTCCCTACTTCAACACCTCAGTCTGTCCTCACTTCTTCGTGTTCTCCCTCACAAACACCGGTATCAACAAGACCTCGTACGACACCTCCTCCCAATCGTCCCTCTACTTCTCAGAGGTCCAACAAATCTCCTTTAACCCCTCCTTCCCTTCATCCACCTCCACATTTTACCTTCCCGGTCTCTGTACCTAGGTCTTCCCCTTTCACTGGCTCCGTTACAAGTGTGGAGGTTCACCCTCCTCCTCGTACTGTGCCTTCCTCCCCTGTCCCCTCCCAAGTTTCTTCCTCTTCTGCCACATCCCAGGTTTCTGCCTCTTCTGTCCCCTCCCACACTTCTCCGGTTCCCTCCACCCTTTCGCCCCGACCCCCTACCTTGGTACAGTCCATTACAGCTCCGATCTTTACTCACACTCCCCCTCCTTCCATCTCCAATATTGTCTCCCATACGAAGTCTCTGAACTCCGAAACACTTGAAGCAATCTCTGAATATATTGCAGAGACCAAACCATCAATGGACACTGATCCACCCTCTGTTCCTTCTCTTTCTTCTTCTCCATCTGCGCAACTCCTTTCTTCACAACGCACCGTTCCTTCGCTACTTGAACGTTTTCCTTTGCCACCGCATGTGGACTTTCCTAACCCCTCTAGTCCGTAGGTACCCTTACCTGCGGATTTCAGGTATCTTTATCATTGCCAATCATGGCCTATTTACAGTGGAATATTCGCAGCCTCGGGTAATCGGGGTGAGCTTCAGATGTTGCTCTCCCAGTTTTCCCCTGTTGGTGTTTGCTTACAGGAACCAAAATTACACTCTGCCATTATCTATCCCATCTCAGGCTATAATTTATTGTATTCTTCAGATCCTTTTCCTGATGGGACCTTTAATGAAAGTGTCCTACTACGCACTGATATTCCGTACCATCAGCTATTTGTTCGTACTTCGCTGCATTACACAGCAGCCCGTATCCACTTGCATAGGTGGTATACACACTGTTCTTTGTATCTCTCTCCTTCTCGGGCATTATCTATCCTGGATACTGCCTTTTTTGTTTCGTCATTACCGCCACCACTTCTGTTACTTGGCGATTTTAATGCCCATCATTTCCTCTGGGGGGGGTCTCACTGTGATTCCCGTGGCATTCAGTTAGAGGCTTTTCTTGCTACCCACCCCCTCCATGTTTTAAATACAGGTACTCGCACCCATTTTGATCCTCGGACTCATACTCTCTCTTGCATCGATCTCTCAGTCTGCTCTTCCTCCGCTGCATTAGACTTCACCTGGTCTATTCTCCCGGATTTACATGACAACGATCATTTCCAAATCATTCTTACTTCCCCTTCATATTCACCACCTCTTCGTAACCCACGCTGGCAATTTGATCAGGCAAATTGGAACCTTTACTCACAACTAACTGTTTTTAGTGAGGTTTCTTCTTCGTCCTCCATTGATGAGCTTTTACACCTCTTTTCGTCTTCCGTTTTAACCTCAGCTTCTCATTCTATACCCCAAACTTCGGGCAGACATTCTCAGAAATGCATGCCTTGGTGGTCTCCTGCTTGTGCTCGAAAGCCCAACTGTCTACGGTAGCTTCCCGCTCTTTTTCTTGACCACTTCCACTCTCATTCTCATGCCATTGCAGTGTACACAGATGGCTCTAAGTCTTCTGACGGCATAGGATTCGCAGCAGTGTTTCCGACAGCGTCATACAAAGGCATTTACTGTCTTCGGCTAGTATCTTTACTGCTGAATTGTATGCCATTCTCGCAGCACTTATCTGCATTGCATCTGTGCCTGTGTCATCATTTGTGGTTGTCTCAGACTCCCTTAGTTGCTTTACAGGCTATACAGAAATTTGATACACCTCACCCCTTAGTCCTCCGTATCCAACTTTGGCTACGCCGCATCTCTACCAAGCATAAAGATATTGTTTTTTGTTGGGTCCCTGGTCATGTTGACGTACAGGGCAATGAACAGGCAGACACTGCTGCGCGGTCAGCAGTACATGACCTACCAGTTTCATATAGAGGTATTCCATTTATGGACTATTTTGCTGCAATAGCTACCCACCTTCACACCCGTTGGCAACAACGTTGGTCTACTCTACTCGGTAACAAACTTCAATCTATTAAACCGAGTATAGGTTACTGGCCGTCTTCTTATCACCAGTGCCGAGGTTGGGAGACTACTCTCTCCCGTCTTCGCATTGGCCATACTCATCTTACTCATGGATATCTCATGGAGAGGCGCCCTGCTCCTCTCTGTGAGAATTGTCAGGTTCCATTATCGGTCAGCCACATTCTATTAGACTGCCCACTTTATCAACGAGCACGCAGAATTTACCTCCGTCTTCTTCGCTCGTCTGCTCTCTCTTTACCTTCCCTTCTCGCTGATGGACCCACCTTTCATCCGGACTCTCTCATTGACTTTTTGACAACAACTGACTGACTTCACAAACTCTGATGATACCTTCAGCCCTTTCTACCTCAATCTCTTGCTACCCTCTACCCTGCACTATCCTCTGCCCCGCTGTTTTCTGTAACCTACTGATCGCCCCTCCCCTCTTTTGCCGCCTAATACCCTCGCTTCCTTCCCTACCCTGCAGCGCTGTATAGCCCTTGTGGCTTAGCGCTTCTTTTTGATTATAATATAATAATAATAGCATATACAGTACTGCATATGTAGAAATTAAAAAATAAAAATTGTTTCATGATCTATGGTCCACTCAACGAGGTTTAATGCTGGCAAGGGGGCTCTTACTCCGAGGATTTGGACTTTTGCTCCACTTCTTTGAATTAAGCCTGAATGCCTTGCATTCCCAGGTGCTGTATGACCCCCTGTTGATTTAGTGCTCCCCCATAAATGTGATAATAATAATAAAATGATCTGCAGTGAATGGAGATAAAATGGAGAGGCAGTGTTGGCCCTGCCTGAATCAACTGACTGGTCGTGCATCACTCCATCACAGTTTGGTTTTGGGTTGCATACTAGTCTTCATGTGTATGCAGCAAAAAAAAAAAAAAATCAGCCTGTATGTTTCTTCACATCCCATTATTCTTTGTAATCAATGATGGCTATGTCACTTGCAGCAGATGCAGCAAGATCATCCTGCTGGATCCCAGGACATTATGGTATTGAGGACAGTTAACTTATAGACTCATCTGCATGTTTGCTATGCAGAACTTTCCAAATCTCCTGTATGGAGTTGACCTTTCTGTTTTGTATTACTATCTTAGTGTTTCAGATGTACATTACTACTTTTCCTTAGAGAGGCACTTCAGTGTTCAAGTAAATACAGCCTCTCCTCACTTAACAATGTACTCGTTTACCAATGCCTCAGACTTAGAATGGGCTCTCTGACCAATATTCATACCTAAATAATGTATATTAAAGCTGATTTCCTCCATTCATTTTATTTCAATATACAGTACACTACTGTATAAACATTTAAAAATATACCAGAAATGTTATAAATGGTGCTAAGGTGACATTAAAACAATATCAAAGATGGTTGACACAAACTCATTACCATTATAATATGCTTCTCGCTTAGCGACGAATTCGTTTAAAGACGCGGTCTTAGGAACGGAACTTCGTCGTCAAGTGAGGAGAGGCTGTATCAGCTTCCCTGGCTGTCTACAAGTTAAGGGCCGTGTTCTTAGCACTCCTTGCTCCTGCATGCCATTTATGAACTCGCCACTGTTCTTTCTTCAAATACCTGGTCATTCCTCTTTGTAGATGATTTTGCTATTGGTTGTGCAGATAAGCTGTCAACTGAATGACACCTCTTCAATGCCCTATTGATTAGGCTTCCAAATGGGCCAACTTACATGGTTTTAAATTTTTTATTGCTAAAAAAACTGGATAACGTTTATACAACACCCTGTTATCCCTCATCCTGGTTCCTGTATCCCTGAATGAAACATGCTCAGATTTCTCAACTTTTGAATGTAATGGGTCTCACACAGTTTTCGTAGCACTTACCTGTATTGCATCTATGCTTGTGCCACCATTTGTAGTAGTTTGAATCTCCCTTAGTGCTTTGCAGGCTGTACGAAAATTTGATTCACCTCATCCCCTGGTTCTTCGTATCCAACTTTGGTTATACCCTATCTCTAGCAGGCACAAAGATATTGTTTTTTGCTGGGTCCCCAGTCATGTTGACATACAGGGCAATGAACAGGCAGACACTGCTGTGAGGTCAACAGTACATGACCTCCCAGTTTCATATAGAGGTGTTCCATTCACAGACTATTTTGCTGTGATTTCTACCCATCTTCGCAACTGTTGGCAGCAACGTTGGTCTGATCTGCTACATAACAAATTGCATTCTCATTACACCAAGTACATATAGGTTTCTGGCCATTTTCTTGTCAGCAGTGTCAAAGTTGGGAGACTACACTCTCCCTTCACATCGGCCATACTTGTCTTACTCATGGGTATCTCATGGAGAGGCAGCCTGTTCCACTTGGTGAGATTTGTCAGGTTCCAGTTTCTGTTAGCCATATTCTGTTGGACTGCCTACTCTGTCAACAAGAATGCAGAATTTACCTCCAACATCTGTCACCACTGTAATGCCCTTATTTTATCTTCCCTTATTGTTGATAGACCCTCCTTTAATCCAGACACTCTCATTGACTTTTTGATAGCAACTCATTTACTGCACAGACTTTGATGATGGTGCCTCTAGCACTCCTCAAAGCCCTTGCTGCCTCTCCCTCTTGCTCCCCTCTACCCCTGCCCTACTGCACTGTATGACATAATAATCCCTCTCCCTCTTGCTACCCAATACCCCTGCACCCTTCCCTTCCCTGCTGCCTTGTATGACCCTTGTAGATTTAGCGCTTCTTTTTTATTCTTTCTTTCAACACACCAGCCATATTCCACCGAAGCGGGGTGGCCCAAAAGGAAAAACGAAAGTTTCTCCTTTTACATTTAGGAATATATACAGGAGAAGGGGTTACTAGCCCCTTGCTCCCGGCATTTTAGGCGCCTCTTACAACACGCATGGCTTACGGAGGAAGAATTCTGTTCCACTTCCCCATGGAGGTAAGAGGAAATGAACAAGAACTAGAAAGATAATAGAAGAAAACCCAAAGGGGTGTGTATATATATATGGTTGTACATGTATGTGTAGTGTGACCTAAGTGTAAGAAGAAGTAGCAAGACGTACCTGAAATCTTGCATGTGTATGAGACAGAAAAAAGACACCAGCAATCCTTCCATCGTGTAAAACAATTACAGGCTTCAGTTTTACACTCACTTGGCAGGACGGTAGTGCCTCCCTGGGCGGTTGCTGTCTACCAACCTACTACCTAGGTTCTTTTTGATTATAGTAATAATAATAATGGGTCTCGTACTCTCCCTAAAAACTGCCTGTCAGTCACCTTAACCTGCTTAAAACGTAGCTTATTTTTCCTGAGATGCTGATAGACAAACCTTTCACTTATATTCACCCCTAATCTAATAATTAAGCTAGAATAAAGACTGACCATATTCCTCAGCTTTTCCCACTACTATTGCTGTATTTGATCCCATTTATCATCAAGGTTATGTTTGTGTCCAGGATTTTTTGATCATGCCCAGTAGAGAGCCTGTATATTAATGCAAATATGTCTGCAAGATCATCATATGGCCATTGTCTATTTTGTCTGCTTCCATACCCTTTGTCATGTGGATACTAATAAGTCAATTTGTTTAATTATCACTACCATTTATTACATCCCTTTAAACTCAGTACTTGTGCTCTAGCAGTACAGTGCTCATCATGGCATTATGCCAGGTGAGGAAGAGGGGGGGGCAGAGTCTTGTTCAAAAGAATCAGACCTGTTCTTCTCCTTCCTTGGATCAAACCTTATTGCTCTCCATTTCCTGGGCACCACATGATTCCTATGGGTTTAGCACTTCACCCTAAATATAATAACATAAGCTTATGAAGGAATAATATATGTTAATCATATCAAGGGATAATATGGGAAATGTTTCTTTGAATATTTAATATAAAAAATTACAAAGAGCTTCACGCTTGATATAAATATGGTATTTACATTAAGTATATTTCCACAGACAGCAAAGTAAGAAATCAGATCTATCTGAACTACAGACAAAAATTAAAGCTTATGAAGAAGGTTACGTGTGCGCAGTATGCAAAGTAAGTTAAACGGTTCACTTTCACAATCCTTGGAAAGTGTCCCTTTTAAACTAAGAGTGCAATGAAAGAAAGCCATGTAAGAATGTGTAAATACATATATACTGTATGGTACAGTATGACCTGATTGCATTAAAAATATTCAAACCCTTATTTTGTCACTTCGGAACATCCAAAACTGACCTAGGTAATTTTTGTACTAACGTACATGAATGGTTGTTGATGACTGCAAATAATGTACTTTGCCATTGCATGTTTTGCATTTAAAAACCAAACTACTTGCATATTTACAAATCAAATGGCTACTACTACATAAGAATGACTATACACGTGTGTCCTTTACACAGTAATAGTACGTACTTTGTTAAAATCCTTGAGATGAGACCAGCTTATAACAGAAATTAAGAACATGACTTTTTACTAAATTGGTGAATACCATGACAGGTGATATTGTATTTCGAACTGAAATTCAAGATTATAGCAGTGAGAGATGTGTATTATGTCTTAATATAAAACTTGCAGTACTGGCAAGACATAAGTAATCGTTTGATTTATTCCCACCAATGCTGTTAATATCCAAAACCAAATTTTGCATTGTATGTATGTATGAATTTGCATCAACACAGCACAAATTTCCTTGTAATGAAATAAAATAATGTATATTTTAAATGTACTGTACAGTAAATACCAAAACAAGGTAATGGTATGAAAATACTTCACTGTGCCATTTAGTTATGAAAACTTCTCCCTGCCCCCCTCCCCCTCAAAAAAAAAATATATGCACTATTATATAATGATTTCTTTCCTCAGTATCTAGCTTTATTCCTTTAACTACAGTGCAAAATATCATTTAAGTCATGCCAGAATCAAAGCTATGACTTCCAATAAGCAAACAACACACAGCAGATCCATCAGCAAAGTTTAATTCTAAGGTAATTTTTCTACAAAGTAGAAAACAAACACTTGAGGCTTCACTAATAGGTCATTATGAGAATCTTGGGGATAAGGCAACTGCCATCATGTGACAACGATTCATGTCTTCAAAGGAAGGCCATGAGTGTAATTAACTGCTAATTTGTCCATCTAAATTCTAAATAATGTGATTAATAGATCTTTAATATACAGTACTGTAAACTACAATTAACTGTAAATTATATTCGTTCGAATTATAAAATTCATGCAGAAGACACAGTGAAAAGAAATTCTGTAATACCTATATAAGAGCAAAATGCATGAATTATACCCACAAAGCCATTATCAAACATGAATAACACTGTTTTTTTTAAATTGGCAAGATTAGTAAGGTCAGAATGTCTTTCAGTATTGGGGCAAAGTAAATGCTGAAAATCAGTTCATGAGATCAATGAATTTGTGAAGACAGCAGTTTGTTGTCCCTCCAAGAGAGCTTCCTTGATGCCAGTGAGGGGCTCTTGATCAATGCTTCCCTTCCTTGGATTGAACCTAAATGCCTTCCATTCCCCTAGGTGCTCCACCTCATGAATATTTTTTTTTGTTTCCTTGCAGCTAATGTATACTCTTTGAAAATAAAGATATTTGCTTCTTGCATATATAAAAAGATTGTGATATATAATATTTGTACTAATTTATTATAGATTAGATTTAATGCTGCTTGAATTGTATGTGACTTTTTTTTAAGTTCACTCAGTGATATTATGAGAAATAGCCTTAATTCTATGTGTGAAAAACATCACAGTTGTAGGATAACCCCTTGATGTGATGCTGGATTGATAGGTGGTGGAGCAGCAAAGAGATCACAACCCTGATACACAAACCGTATTAACTGTCTCCGTAATTCAGGGTCGGTAATTAATGCCTCTGTTACCCTTTCTTCCTCTAGATCACCTGCTTCATATTCACTATTATCCTCACTGTCACTTAACTCTTCAATGTTAATATATTCACAATCATCTTCATCCATTGCATCATCATCTAAAACTATGATTTCTTCTTCACTATCATCCTCAACTAATGTTACTTCAAAACCTGCATTAAATGTCCTAGGAACCCTGAGAGTATTAGAATTATTAGTTGAAATTTCCTCCTCGGATTCATCTGTAGGGGTAGTCTGTGCATCTATAATAGCAGTGGCAAGTTGCTGGGAGAGCTTAGTTAGCTCAATGTGGGCATGTTCTCGAGTCAAATGTGCTGCTAAACCCGTCACTACTGGGTGGTCTTCAGGAAGATGCTCCTCCTCTAGCAAAAATCTGCATCCAAAAATTATTGATATTAGACTTATGTATTTCAGGAAAGGCATACAACTGTAGTGTTATACAAAAATGTTCACTGTAACAGTTTTATACTGGAAACAATTTTAATACTGGTCACTAGTCATGAAATTCTTTGGCAAAAATAATGTTTGATAAAGTTTCCTTGGGGAAAATAATTAATGGTTTAATCTGATACATTAACAATTCATAAATGAGTTAGTTATGTAATACAGGACTTGAAATATAAGAAATTTTATTAATAGAGTTGATCTGACTAAATAATTTTTAATGCACCGAAGTTTTTGTTAGCATTTTTCAGCTAATACATATATGTAATAGCAAATTAAGAAGAAAATTATTATGTAATTTTTACTTTGAAGAGCTGCAATTTATTTAACAAACCTTAGTGTTTCCTTCAAACAATCTTGGTACCCAGCAACAACATCTGGGTCAACTATTTCTTCTACCTCTTCACTGAGTCTCGGAAGATTAACTGGCACTTGAACAGGGTCCTCGGCTGGATGTGCTCTTGCCTCGGGTCTGGATGCATTTGCAGCCTGACTAGATTCATTTTTGCGTGGTGACACTGGCACCGGCATCTAAAAGAAAGAATTACACAGTTTTGTGAACCTAAGTTGAAATAAGCCAGTGACTGTTGGATTAGGTTAAATTTGCAAAATTTATCAAAAATGTATGTCTAAAACAAGTACTGTATTGCATGGCTTATAAGACTTGTTTTAGATTCAATGGCTCAGCATTGGAAGTAACTAGGAGAGTTACAGCCCACCCCACACCCCAAACTTATAGCTCTCATCACTGACCTTCAGATTATAGGATGCAGGGTGGTTTTTGATGACATTTTATGGAAAAAAAATGAGTAATAAGCTGCAAAATACAGTACAGTATATTTCATATCAAACCTTGTATAGTACAGTTTACATTTGCAGCAACTAATGACCCTTATGATTTTAGCACCATCCTTGAATATAATAGTAATATTAATACAGTAATAATAATATACATTTATTTTAAAGAGATTTTGACTTGTTTCCCCCTAGAGCAGTGCTTCTTAGCATATTTTGGGTCGTACCATCCACTGCAGTTGGTCCTCATCTCCATGCCCCTCTCCTTCCTTCACAAAAATTCTAAATGTAAAAATAAAAATATACTCTTTATTTAAGAAGGAAAACTGAGAAAATAGTTATCATCAACTTTATTAATTTTAACAATTCAAAAGGGTCTGTTTAAAGAGAAAATTGCAAATATGCAACATATTTCTTATTTTTGCTCTGGACTTGTACCCTCCTTCCCCTGGAAATTACTAATTATGTATAATAATAATTAATAAAAATAATAATAACTTTCTAAGCTATCGTATCTGAGAGCATCTGAAAAGATAGTGATTATAATCACTCATACATAATTATGTATGAGTGATGGTGAAAGTATTGAATAATTAAAGTTTTTTCCTTTTTTTTTGTCACCCTGCCTCGGTGAGAAACAGCCGACGTGTTAAAAAAAAATAATGTCAGGGTAACCGCACATTATAGCTTCAAGTCCAGTTAGATAGAAGGGTAAGAGAGGAGATACATTTGGAACAGCCCTCAACTCTAGGCACTTCTAATTGTTTGATATTAATAAGCTTAATATTAACCGTAAACACCAGTGCTCTGATCCATATGGGTTTAGCGCTCTTGTAAATATAATAATAAATGACAATGTTGCACTGATGCATGGATTTAGCCATTTACTATATTTCCCAGTGCTGTATGACCCTAGTACATTTAGCACTTAGTTTTGATTATATTAATTATTACTTTATTTCATTTATTTATGATAATGACATTACATAGGCGCTTTATCTGAGGTCTGGCCACCCACTGTGGGTGCTAAGAAATCGAGCTTATTTACTCTAGTACCATACTGACTGGTTCCTAACCTTTACAAAACTTGCAACAAGATATTCTGGATACGGTACTTGTTATTAGAAATTTTGTGTACATGATGTGAGTTTCAGCTACATATTTTGCTTAATCTGCCTCATCAAGCACATACATTTTCTCTTGTACTCAAAGACGAAGCTCACCATTTTACCTTGGGAAATTTAGTCAGTTTTTTTTTTTTTAAGAGAGAGAAAAAGAAAAGCATCTTTAAGAACGAGGATAGTCGGAGATGACATTGTATAAGATTATTATTATAATCAAGGGGAAAGCGCTAAACCCGTAGGATTATACAGCGCCCGGGGGGGGATGTGGAAGGCATTCAGGATTAAATCGGGGAACTGGAGCACAGATCCAATTCTCTAAATCAAGAGCCCCTCACCAACATCAAGGAACCTTCCATGAGGGGACATTGTATAAGAGCTAGTCATGTTGTACCCCAGCCCCTCGCTTACTCCTAGCCTTCCCACATTCCTACCCTCGCACATCCCTACCTGCAGCACTGCATAATCCAAACGGTTTATCGCTAATTAATTTGATTGTATTATTATTATTATTTTATTATTATTATTAGACAAACAGTCTTGCGTGCCTGAACAGGTAGACATCACTTTTCAGCCCATCTTCTTAATAAAGTTGTTTAATATGTTTATTATGCACCCCATACCCATCCTGTGGGCGGTAGTCAAAAGATTACAGAGGTACATAATGGGTCCAGGGACTGGGCCTCAAAGTTTTGATAGCTGAGCAAGTTACAGAGGTAATGAATTCACAATTTACAAAGGTAATGAACTCACAATTTACAAAGGTAATGAGCTCCAGGTAGGTCTAGTCACAATCATGACAAGTTACAAAGGTATTTACAGATTACAGAGGTACACAATGGGTCCAGGGACCGGGCCCCAAAGTTTTGATGGCTGAACTAGGTGCAAGGTAATGAACTCACAAGTTACAAAGGTAATGAATACTGTAAGAATGGTTACTTACGTTTATACATGGCTACAATCATGAACAAATTTTAGAGTAATGAGCAATTCACACTTCCACACCCGGTCACACATAAACACACACACACACACACACACAACACCAAACACACACACACACACACACACACACACACACACACACACACACACACACACACACAGGAGCTTGGACTCGACCCCTGCAATCTCAACTAGGTGAGTGCACACACATACACACACACACACACACACACACACACACACACACCACCACACACACACACACACACACACCTAGTAAGGAATCATTCAAGACACTGTACACCGTGTATGTCAGGCCCATACTGGAGTATGCAGCACCTGTTTGGAACCCGCACTTGATAAAGCACGTCAAGAAACTAGAGAAAGTACAAAGGTTTGCAACAAGGTTAGTTCCAGAGCTAAGGGGAATGTCCTATGAAGAAAGATTAAGGGAAATCGGCCTGACGACACTGGAGGACAGGAGGGTCAGGGAGACATGATAACGACATATAAAATACTGCATGGAATAGACAAGGTGGACAAGGACAGGATGTTCCAGGGAGGGGACACAGAAACAAGAGGCCACAATTGGAAGTTGAAGACACAAATGAGTCAGAGAGATAGTAGGAAGTATTTCTTCAGTCATAGAGTTGTAAGGCAGTGGAATAGCCTAGAAAATGACGTAGTGGAGGCAGGAACCATACACAGTTTTAAGACGAGGTTTGATAAAGCTCATGGAGCGGGGAGAGAGAGGGTCTAGTAGCAACCGGTGAAGAGGCGGGGCCAGGAGCTAGGACTCGACCCCTGCAACCACAAATAGGTGAGTACAAATAGGTGAGTACACACACACACACACACACACACACACACACACACACCACACACACACGCACGCACGCGCGCGCACGCACGCACGCACGCACGCACGCACGCACGCACGCACGCACACACACACACACACACACACACACACACACACACACACACACACAGGAGCTAAGACTCGACCCCTGCAACCACAAATAGGTGAGTACACACACACACACACACACATGCACATATGTGGTAATGCTTTATTTACAGCTAGCAAAGTCAGGGTATTTCTCCAGAATGGTCTGTAATATACCACTGTGGATAAAATACTTAGCCATTTCTTGAACACTTCTGAGTGAGTTGTTTCTAAATTCATTAATTTTATCGCACTCCAGTACATAATGACGCAGGGTGTGACAATAGTCCATCTGGCAAAGTTTACATTTCGTTTGGTCTACATCTGGTGGTGGTGATTTAACCTGCCAAAGATACTTGTAACCCAGCCGGAGCCGGGCGGTAGTGACATCCAAGAGTCTGCTTATTTTGTTGGATGCACCATAGACATGTGGCTCCTCCTGCATGATAGAATGATGATAGATGGACTCACTGGTGTCAATCTCCCTGAGCCTTAACTTAAGTCCATAAAATTCAGTTGAAGTTCTTTTCGTATTATTGTTCTCAAACTAGTACCTGACAAGCCAAGATTGTAATCTACTCCCTCTTTGAAAGCATACAGCTTAGCCAATTTATCAGTTCTATCATGCATCTGAAGACCAATTTGAGATGGAATCCACAGCATGTGCACTCTGACTCCACTGTCCACAATCCTACCATACCTGTGTCTGGCTTCTGACACAAGCATGCCACAATTTATGCTTAATGAGTTGAGAGCAGTTATGGATGACAGAGAATCAGTTACAATTAAACTGTCAATCTTTGAGACATAGATGCATTTCAGTGCAAGGAGTATGGCAAACAGTTCTGTCTGAAGGGTAGAGGCCCAGTTATTGATGCGTGCTCCATCTTCTTAATCTCAGACATTATTTGCAGTCGTACATACAAGACTGATTGAAGGTGCCTTTAAACAGTCGTTCTTAATACTTTACGTCGTCCGAGGTCAGTGGGTGCCCGTTTTCTGCTCGTGCCGCAAAACTTATTCCTTTTTATCTTATATTTATATTTTTTCCGTTCCATTATATTTTAATTGGATATTTTTTTATGGATAGAAAACAGCCTGGAGGTTATTCCGGGGATCAACGCCCCCGCGGCCCGGTCCATGACCAGGCCTCCCGGTGGATCAGGGCCTGATCAACCAAGCTGTTACTGCTGGCCGCACGCAGTCCAACGTACGAGCCACAGCCCGGCTGATCCGGCACTGACTGTAGGTATCTGTCCAGCTCTCTCTTGAAGGCAGCCAGGGGTTTATTGGTAATTCCCCTAATGCTTGATGGGAGGCTGTTGAACAGTCTTGGGCCCCGGACACTTACGGCGTTTTCTCTTAGTGTACCAATGGTGCCCCTACTTTTAATTGGGGGTATTTTGCATCGCTTGCCCAGTCTTTTACTTTTGTAGGGAGTGATTTCTGTGTGCAGATTCGCAGCGCTGTATAGTCCTTGTGGCTTAGCGCTTCTTTTTTGATTATAATAATAATAATGTGTGCAGATTCGGGACCATTCCTTCCAGGATTTTCCAAATGTAGATTATGATATATCTCTCTCTCCTGCGTTCCAACGAGTACAAGTTAAGTGCTTCCAAGCGTTCCCAGTAGTTAAGGTGCTTGACAGAACTTATACGTGCCAAGAAATTAACTGCCAACCATACGTGAAAATCTACTTAAATGCTGGGAGGACGGCTGCGAGTTAAGCACCTCCCCTCAATTATAATTAAAGAGGACCTCTGGGAGGGCCTGTGAAGTTGTAACTATAATT